GTGGAGATAGTAGAATTATACAGAGAGAGATCAAAATAAAACTTTTTAAAATAGTCAAGAATTATGAATTTCAGTTTTGAGGATTATACTCCCAATTTCCATTTTCATCTTTTAAAGCTTCAATTAAATTTTTATTTCTTCTAAAAATAGCAGCTTTATAAAAAAAAATTGTGTTTCTATCTCCTAAGCTAAGCCATTTAGATATGTAATGATGGAACCAATAGGATTCCTCAAGGTCCAGAATCTGTTAGTACTCTTTCCAAAGGGATTTCTTGAGATTACATAAGAAAGGATTATCCATAGAACCTAACTTATAAGAGATGTCATTTATTCTACTCAAAATACGCTTCTTTCTATAAAAAATATTACCAAAAGTAGTTTTATTCCAATGAGAAATATTATATTTTAATCTGTTGATGTTATCATTCCAAGAATTATAAAGAAACCAAGAATTTTTAACCTGGTTAGGAAAATTTGGATGGGAGATCCAGGGAGCTAGGAATTTGAAAGGCTTTACTGGAGTAGGAAGTTGCTTATTTGTTCTTCTTTTGAGCCAAAGTTCAACACGATCAAATTTTAAAATTGGAATATGAGTAACTAAACTATTAGGGAAATAGACTCTCCACTCATAATTTGTAACCACCCTATCAAGCCTTTCTTTTAGGTTACCTCTTTGCCATGTGAAAAGGTTACCTTTGTAACCCAAATCATACAAGTCACACCTATTTAAGCAATCAGCAAAACTCTTCCTTTGTTGTTGACTAACAGAACTACCACCCCTCTTTTCCCAGTCATAAAGAACTGAGTTGAACTCCCCAGCAAGGCACCAAGGGCTTTGAATAGATTTACTAAAATCTATAAGTTCATTCCAACAATCAATTCTAGTCCTCTCTTGGGGGCTAGCATCAATTGACGATAAGATCAAATTAGGTTGACCAAGACTGCTAATTTTAAGGTGCACAACATACTTAGTTTTTAATAACACATAAGTTTTAACTTTCTTAGTATTCCAGCAAACCCAGATCCTCCTAAAAAATCCTATTGCATCTACTTTAGTTGAGCCATTTAATTTTAAGTTGTTAATAATTTTGTCAGCCCTGTCCAAACTAACTCTAGGTTCAAATAAAGCAATCAAGTCAAGATTATGAATTTTAATTAAGTCATTTACTAACCTAGAAAAGGTTTTATTGTCAGCCCCCTACAGTTCCAGAAAAGACAGTTCATGAATATGGAAAGTGGATTAATTAGAATGCATCTTTAAGATACTGGTCCTTCACTAGACTGCTATCCAGAGACATAGTTTTCACTGAATCAGACTGTAACTCACTATTTGGCCTGGTTTTTATTACACTATTCATGGAAGAGACAATATCAAGAGGTTCTCCTAGCTGAGGACTCCAAGCCTGAATAAGATTCATTCCTAAGAGGTCCTGAATGGACTTCCCCATGTTGGCCTGACTTTCTAAATCTTTTTGCATTATTCTCATTAACTGAAAGGTATCTTCTTGATTATCATTAACCCTTTTCTCCAGAGGAGTATCATAAATAGTGTGAATTTTATTCACTAAACCAGCACTAGGTTCACCACTATGATTGCCTGCCCTATTTTTTAATTTTAATTTAGGTAACTTTTTAGAGCTAGGTTGGGAGTTTGGTATTATAGGGAACTTATTGTTATGCTTGGGTTCACTAGAAACCAACATACTCTGATTTCAGAATTAGTCTCACAAATAATGGTTTCCATATTCTGATTATCATTGCCTATTTCCTGATTTTAGAAATAATGAGAACTATCCAAAATTCCAAACCTAGAACCTATGGAGGATTCCTTACCTCTACCAGAATTAATAGAATCACTCATGGACTTGAATTGTCTGGACTTTTTTCTGATTAGTTTTTTAGCCAGCATCCAAGGGACAAATCTATTTAACTTTCACTGTTACTGTCCTCTTGTCTATCTTGAATACTATCCCTAGAGAGGCTCTCCATGTCATTGGGATCAGACTCCTTTCTTATATTAGGATTATTAAGTAAAGGGTCATGTTCTATATTTTCTTGAGCTTGCTTAAAATTTTCTTTACAGGAATCTACCTTGTGCCCATATTTTTCACAATGAAAACAGATCAAATGCAAACCCTCATACTCAACTCTAAATTCTTGCCCTAGAGCTTTGAAGGAGGGGACTAACTTTCCGTTAAGATCTATTTCAACACATATCCTGTCAAATTTCCCTCTCACAAGTAAAGAGGTATGAGGATCTATTTTTAACATAGTTCTTAGGCAAGACCCAACCTGCCAGAGAAATTTCTCATTATAAAGTTCTAGAGGTAGGTAAGGGACCCTAATCTAAATAACAATCTTCCTAAGACAGTAGTCTTGAGATCTAAATAAAGGTCTCCAACGCTGAACAAGAAAATAATGATCAAAATTTAGCCAGGAGCCCTTAAAGAGGGCATGTTTATAATCCTCCAAACTTTCAAATTTTACCAAATAGAAATCATTATTGAGGTCCAGGATTTTGAGGCTCCCATTTTTACCCCATAGATTAGACAGCTTCTGATTCAGGAAATTAAAACTAATATTCTTGCCTAATAGTTTTACAATCAAAGTATATTTCCAAGGATTACACTAAAGTTCATAGTCCTCTAGTGAAACTTTTATTTCAGGGCAGAGGTTCTGAACCTCATTTCCCTCTATAGCAGGTTCATCACAATCAAAAGGAATATGAAAGTCTTCTAATACTGATTTTATTATTTTTTTATCATTAAATTCTAGATTTGTGTCCTTACCAGCCAAAACTTTTTCCTTATACGGCATGCATAGCGAAGATTTAGAGAAAGAAAGCTCCTGGTTAGAAACACCCTTTTCGCAATCCTTCTCTTGTGTCAGCGGATCCACCACGTCCATGGTGCTCTCAGATTCCGTTTTTACTTTCTTTTTGCTTTGATCATTAAATCCACTTCTTCTTTGGACTACACCTCTTCTTTTGCAATCTCCATACTCCATATCTTCCTTCAGCCTCCAAGTCACAGATCCAATAAAATTTTTTATCAATATCTCGCAATGGCTACTAGCTGAGAGAAAAGAACCTAAGGTTGAGAGACCCTAATCAAAAAAAGTGAAAGAACTCTCTCGAAACAAGAAAATTTTTCTTAGAGAGAGAAAATATCTTCGACCATTTATTTGCCACAAAATATGTAATTTTTATATACATATTCGAGGTGTTAAATCATTTTTTCATAACTTATTTAGATATGAGCCTTATACATTTATAAAAATATACCTATTTAAATAATTTAATAGTCTGTTTACAAAAAATAATTAATAATATATTAAAGATCTTAATACAAAGTAGACTATTAAAAAGATTAATAAATAAAATTAAACTTTTAAAAAAGTTAGTTTAATTTTAATAAAAAGTCAAATAATAAATTAAATTTAGATTTTAAAATTATTAAATAGGTGAGACTTATTTATATAAAATATAGCCTAACTTAAAATAAATTCTAACATTTATGTACTAGATACATTTAATTTTTCGATATATAATATTAAAATATACATAAAAACATATAGATTCGTTGAAATATCTTAATTACAGACATTATAACATTTTGAAGTAATTATTATTACTTAAAAGAAGAAGATAAAATAATAATTGCAACAAGTACAAATCAAGCATACTTAAACTTATTCAAAACTAAAATAAAATACTAAATAAATTTTAAAATTTCTTAACATTTTCCTCCGTCAAACAAGCCCTACACGAAATATCAGCTAGTTTACTCGTTGTCAGGGTCACATAAAGCTTCCTCCCTCTTTTAACAAACTCTGGTCATGTTTTGAAACTTTTCAAGCATGATTGTGTTGATAAATTTTGTCACGTAATCTGCTCCTCAATTTTGCAGTAGATAACATAAAGAATATGATAAAAAAAAATGGAAGATGACATATTTATATTTGCTTTTTCTATGTAAAACAGAATTATTTAGCAACCTAACATTGTCACCTTTCTATCCAGATTCAGTTCCTCGTCCAAATGGGTTGACATATATATTTTTTCCGTAGACTGTAATTCTTTTGGATTACCTAATAACATGCATTTGTATTTGGCTTGACTAAATTAGATACATCAATTTTTCACATTTTACTTACAGACCGTTGCATCTATTTTCTTTCCATATAAATACTTTTCCAGCTTCAAGTTTATATAGATAAGAATGTGCATTCTTACATTTAGAATCTACTCAAAATCTTATTTTAGTACCTCAGTGCCAAGAAAATAGCATATACAACCAAAGTCTACCGTTATATGCGAAGATCAAGTCATCAACATGTATACATAAGACTCAATTGATTAACACAAAACTGTAAGTTGACAAAAAATGGCTCCAACCCTGAAGTTAGAATGGGAACAACCACTACAATTTACATTATCATTTTTATTACATTTTTTAAAAAATGGTGACAAATAACCATGATTTGTCCTGTTACTACACAATGGCTCTTTACAATTTCATTTTCTTTTCTTTTATTTTTAAAATTTAAGATGATATTAATTAATTTTTATTAATTATACCCTTAGTTCAAAATAAAAAATAATTTATAAATAAAAGATAAATAAGTATAACAAAAATTAATATAATAATTTTTGTAAAAAATAGGACATTAAATTTTTTCCTAAATTTCTATATAAAGTTTTAATACCAAAAATAAAAGAATGAAAAGAATATTAATTAAAAGTTAAAAATAAATTAGAAAAAATTGATGAAAACGGAATGAAAAATGTCTTTGGAGAGGTGAGTATGTGTCAAAGATTCCTTTGATTTTTGAGGTCCACCACCATCTCACAATCATCTCTCTTTTCTCTTGCACCTTCCCCCACAAGTCTTTCATCCCTTTTGCTTTAACAACAGTGTTAATAATTTATTAATTTTTAAATTACCTCATAATTTAATTATTATTATTTTATATATAAAAATTAAGTTCTTTTTGTAACTATTCTCTTTCCTTCTTCATCAACACAATCATTTCATTGGTATATTTTGGGACAATTATTTCTATACCCATAACAAAACAACAGCAAAAACAAGGTAAGAAAACAAAAACTCTGGATCAAATTCCATTATCAGAAGAAAGACCCAAATAGCTGGTTGGGTCGGGTTCGGGTTCTTGGATCCGCTTCTGGTTCAACCGTTGTTGTTGTGGTGATTGTGGTGGTGATTCTTCTTCCTGAATCTTCTCAACCGTGTTAGGTAAGCTCGTCAGACATTTTTTCTTGTTTTTTTATTTCTTTTCTTTGTTCTTATCTCGTTCCCAAGAGGATTCAAACGTTTTTGCAACAATGTTCGTTGCATTCGGGGAATTGGGTTTTTTTTCATGTTCGATATTTAGTTTCTTTTTTGTTCCAATTTTGCTTTTTCTATTATTATTTTTTGTGTCAAAAACCAAAAAAAAAAAAAAATTGATAATTTTGTAACTTCGTCAAAAGGTAAAAGAGGGGTATAAATTTTTCAAATTTTTATGGTCTAACTTTCTAAGACGATGACTCATGTTGGCGCTTTGTTTTGTTTTATCGGTAGATTAAGCAATTGCATAGCGAAATGATTTTCCTTTTTTGTTTTTTTTTTTTTTTTTGAGCTGAGTTCTTTTTCCTCTTTGGTTGGCATTTTATTGTGTTAATTGATTTCTGTGTTTTTTGCATTATTCATAGTCTCTTTTTTTCCTCAGAAAATTTGGTCATTTACAGTATTGGTGTTCATAAAGTGAGGTCTGAGAATGGCTGGGATTGATGATAATGTTGCCCTTACTGGGGATTGGGGTCTTCCTAGCCCAAGTCCAAGGACCCTTTTTTCTAGAATGCTAGATGAAGATAATGTAACAAGATCGATCTCAGAACACCCTGGAAGTGGTAGAACTGAGGATCCATTTCTGGGGGCTCACGCACGTAGTGAAGCAGGGAAAGGAGACATGAAAGATGGGACGCATGATGGTGATTCTGGTGCCCAATTGAGCGACATGAATTTTCAGACCGAGCAGAAATCGAGTTCTCGGGGTGGTCTTGTTGAAAGGATGGCTGCTAGAGCCGGGTTTAATGCTCCAAGGTTGAATACCGAAAGCATTAGATCTACTGATCTTTCGCTTAATTCAGACATTCAGTCTCCTTACTTAACCATACCCCCTGGTCTCAGTCCTACTACACTTTTAGATTCTCCGGTGTTCCTTGCAAATTCACTGGTGAGCTCTGGCGCATTTGTGTTCTGGCTTGGTTATTTGTTTATTGAATTTGTTTTTTCTTCTCTCAAACCCAAGAAAAAGGGGTAATAATAGAAGGAAGGGATATAGGATAGATCCTAGATGCAGTTGGTAGTGTGACGCACTACAAAGCACATATCATTATTGCTCATAATGTGGATGTCTGATAGGGTAGACAAACAAGATCCATTTAATTCTTTTTGTATGTTTAATGTTGTAATTTGGATAATCTGAGGATTGAATGGATGTTATTTCTTCAATTTGAATGAGGGTTTTATTAAGTGATATCAAGTTTTCCGGTTATCTTGTCTGATTTCACTTCTGGAACTTTCATACTTGTACTTTCCTGATTTTTCCATTTTGTCTTTTCCTAGAACTCTTCAAATTTCATCAGAGGTATTCTGTTTGGTTAATATGGTAGCCCTTTTCTATCACCGTAGTTATGAACTATCCTCTAGAATAGGTAAAGAAAATGTCATATCTCATTGTGGATTTTTCTTTTCAATATACTTTTGTAACAATAGGTAGTGCATTGTGACAGAGTATATAATGATATCTGAACTGTATGTACTTCAACTTCGAAATAACTGGTAGGAGTAGGACCTCATTGTCTTGGTCTGCGTCTGTGCTTAAAATTCAATTTGATTTTCATTTGGTAGTGCTACTCACATTGTCTAACTTGGAAACTGTAAACCACTGAGATTTGTGCTGCTTTGCATGCCTTACAATGAGGCACTTTTTATGCTCTTAACACATGATGCCAAAAGAAAATTTTAAAGTGTTAAGTTATCACTTTTCCTTTTACTTTCTCCTGTGGCACCAACAGTCGTCCATCTGCTTTTGTATGAAACTGATACATGGGACATTGTTTTGTCTATTATTGAGTTATGACTAATGTATTTCTCTAATTTCAGGCACAGCCATCTCCAACAACTGGAAAATTCCTGTTCATGCCCAATGGCAACATGCGGAACTCAGAGTTATCATCTGATGCTCCAGAAAAATGTAAAGATAACAGCTTTGATGATATCTACGCATCATCCTTTGCTTTCAAGCCTGCAACAGATTCAGGCTCTTCTTTTTATCATGGCCCTGGAAAGAAAGTAAGCACATTCCAGTAAACCTTTTTTACCACCAGAACTTTGGATACGCTTTTTTCCATGAAAATTTACTCTTCCAGTCAACATGACATGCCATTTGCAAATAGTCATCAAGCGTTATGCAATAATAGATAATGTTAATGATTCAAGTTTGATATCTTCTGATGCACCTAGTATGGGATTCATAGTGAGTTGATGACTGTCTTTGCAATGATATGTAGATCTATATTCTCTTTTTGGTCATTTAGTCTGCCTTCTGTTTGCAGATAAATCCAGCTACACTTCATCAACAATCCCTTCCTGGTATTGAGGTTTCAGCTCAGTCAGAAAATTCTTTTCAATCTCAAAGTGTTGATGCTGTCAAAGTTCAAACTGAGAACAAAAGTGGCCTCCATCTTCAGGCTGACTTTGTCGAATCACCACCTCAAAAAGATAATGGAATTAAAATGTTCTCAGCTGAGCAAAGGGCTTTTGACACAGTTGGTGGTAACATTGAACATTCCACACCACTTGAAGAGCAAGCAGATGAAGAAGGAGATCAAAGAGGCAATGGAGACGCAATGGCTGGTGGTATTGGCGGTGCACCATCTGAAGATGGATATAACTGGAGAAAATATGGCCAAAAGCAAGTTAAGGGTAGTGAGTACCCACGGAGTTACTACAAGTGTACACATCCACATTGTCAGGTTAAGAAGAAAGTAGAACGATCTCATGAGGGCCACATAACAGAGATCATTTACAAGGGAGCTCACAGCCATCCTAAACCTCCTCCAAATCGTCGGTCAGGCATAGGTTCAGTTAACCTTCATAGTGACATGCAAGTGGACAATCCTGAATATGTTGAACCACAGAGTGGTGAGGATGGTGACCTGGGCTGGGCCAATGTACAAAAGGGAAACATAGCTGGGGCTGCTAATTGGAAGCATGACAACCTTGAAGCAACATCATCAGCATCTGTTGGTCCTGAATACTACAACCAGTCCACCAATTTGCAGACTCAAAATGGTGCTCACTTTGATTCGGGAGAGGCAGTGGATGGCTCATCTACTTTTTCTAATGAAGAAGATGAAGACGATCAAGGCACTCATGGTAGTGTATCATTAGGATATGATGGGGAAGGTGATGAATCAGAGTCTAAGAGAAGGTAGTTGCCATTATGTTTTTCCCCCAAAGTAATCTTTGTCCTACGTATTGAAACCAACCATTTTTTTCTCAGGAAACTGGAATCATATGCAACAGAGTTGAGTGGAGCTACTAGGGCTATTCGTGAGCCTAGAGTTGTTGTACAGACTACTAGCGAAGTAGATATCCTTGATGATGGTTACCGGTGGCGGAAATATGGACAGAAAGTTGTCAAAGGAAATCCCAACCCAAGGTGGGTCTTTCTCCTCCTCTTGATCTGATTTGTGCATGCACAGAAGTCATATAGAAAAAAATACATTATTTATGTTACAAAGCTGAATGTAACTGTTTTGTTACAGGAGTTACTACAAGTGCACAAATGCAGGCTGCACAGTAAGGAAGCACGTGGAGAGAGCTTCACATGACCTTAAATCTGTGATCACTACTTATGAGGGAAAACACAACCATGATGTTCCTGCTGCTCGTGCTAGCAGTCACGTCAATGCCAACGCCTCTAATGCCATTTCTGGCCAAGCTTCAGGAGTTCTTCAGACCCATGTTCATAGACCTGAACCATCACAAGTTCACAATGGCATGGGAAGGCTGGAGAGGCCTTCCCTTGGCTCATTCAACCTACCTGGAAGGCAGCAGCTTGGACCTTCCCACGGCTTCTCCTTTGGTATGAACCAACAGATGCTGTCGAATCTGGCAATGTCAGGGTTGGGCCCTGCGCAAGCAAAGCTTCCTGTCTTGCCTGTTCATCCATTCTTGGCGCAACAGCGCCCCGCAAATGATTTAAGTTTCATGTTACCAAAGGGAGAACCAAATGTGGAGCCTATTCCTGAACGTGGCCTTAACCTGCCCAGTGGCTCATCAGTATATCAGGAAATCATGAGCCGCATGCCTCTTGGACCTCATATGTAAAATTATATTATTCCCTTATTCTTTAAAAAAAAAAAACTAATGTATACATTTTATTATATACATATATACATATGTGATGCCTAGGCATACATAGGTGGGCTTCTCCAGTCATTGTAATGTATGACATTCTTAATCACATGTCAAAGGTGTATGTAGTTTGTTCTGCTGTTTTATTGCATTCAAGGCATCCATGTAGCACAACATTAATCAACTGCATGAGGAATCAGTGGCTATGATAGATTGTGTTTTAATTATGAATTATTCATCATAGAAATTTTGCTATATTAGATTCAACATTGATCAAGTCACTTTATGATATGATTTCATTGTGTTAAGCAATATCTTTTATTATGACAAGATAAAAGATATTGCTTGTCCTAGTTCCCTCATTTGTCTGAAGGCGAGAAAGATGTCTATTATTACTGCTGCTTTGGATTCTGTTATTGATATGGTTGGACCCGTAAAAGAAAGATAAAAATAATTGAGATTAATTGTACCTAGACACATGAAGTGGGGATATAAATATTTATTTTTATATATTGGAATATGATTTATCTTATTAATTTTAATTGAAGTTCAATTTCAAATTGCCAAAGCCAATAACTTGCTACCTAATTTATTTTTTTTCCTTGCCTTTTTCATTCAACTTATATAAACTTTTTACCCCATTTGTGCTTGCTAACAAAAATCAAGTTTGGGACATATAAGGGTCTGTCTTACGGGCGAAATGGAGTTTGTGAACTTTACGAGGCACTTTCTCAAGAGTGAAAAAGTTTTTTATTCTTCGAAGACAGAGTTGAGACGCAGAGCAACCAAGCACTTAGCCACGTTGAACAGTAGTTAATTTGTTTTGTTAATTTTTTTCATTCTCAAAGTTCTGCAATTAATAAAATTAATTTTGGGATAGGTAATTTAGGCATGAGGCTCATATAACATCTATATTCACACTTCTAAAGTCATTCTAAAAACAAAATTAGCCATTCTAAATACATTTTAAAAAGAATATTCCCAAAAGCAAATTACATTTTTAATATCAATATTATCCTAATAATTTTGTTAACATTTCATTCAGATTAACTTTACCAAAATAAAAAATAAACCCACTCTCAATGTGTCAATCTTTAGGGTTTAGGGTTTAGGGTTAATTAATATTTAAAATAAAAATATTTAGAATTTTAAAAAAATATGCAAGTATTTCAAGTAAATATGAAATATATATAAGTGGGTTAAGATAAAAGAAAAAATTAAAAAAAACACTGAATTCAACGGAATCATATTTTAACATCTTTAAATATATAAAAAAACAATTAAATAATAATAAATTTATATTTTCATAAATAACTTTAATAACCATTAAATATAAGTTAAATAAAAATTTAAATTATTTTTAAAAAAATTTAAATTTAGACTAATATGAGAGTATTTTAGATCCAAACATATTTAACTCAATCTTTGATGCAATTCATTGAATGAACCAAGTTGGCAAGTGCCCGAGTGGATGACCCAAATTCTCCAACAGCTTCCAAAGCCATTTCTTTCACCTTCAAACTTCTAACCCTAAGCTCTTCCCTCTCCATCAACACCCTCACCTTAGTCTCCACTTCCACAGCACTCACAAGCCCATCCCCTTCTCTCTGCTCCACAGCAATGGCCACCCTCATCTCCTCCACCATCACGTGCCTATTCACGTGCTGCTCCGCATACAAAGGCCACGCAACCATTGGCACCCCCGCAACCACCCCTTCCAAGACCGAGTTCCACCCGCAGTGAGTCACGAACCCGCCCACCGAGTCACGACTCAGCACTTCCACCTGTGGGGCCCACGACTTCACCACTAGTCCCCTACCCTTTGTTCTCTCCATGAAGCCACGTGGCAACACCGAACTAACGTCGAATTCCTCTGTTGTGTGGTCAACTTGGTTTCTTCCCTTGTCTTGCGTTGGCGTTTTTAGAACCCACAAGAACCTGTGTCCACTCCTCTCTAACCCTCTCGCTATCTCATTCACCTGTGACATTGAGAACGATCCACGGCTTCCAAAACACAGATACACCACGCTTCTACTTGGTTGTGCATCCACCCATGACAAGCATTTTTCATTCTCTTTTGCTGCACCTGAGATATGTGGTTTATTTAGTTTCATCGTGTTATATATCGTGCATTTTGTTTCATATATGCAACACGTTTGGATCATTTATCAATTCAATTGTACGTGTAAATTCAATCTGAGCACTAACATATACCCCAGGGCCTAATTGCATAATTCGCTTGTATTATAATTATTTTGTAAAGATGCAGTCTAGATCATAAACTATTACTTTTGAGCTACTAGTGAGATTTTAGGTCATTTCTATAAGGTCTAAGGTTATATCATAACTAAATTTTGTATCTTAACGATGTGCAACTTTATAACTATTTGATATTATTATTTCAAATTATTAATAATTTTAGATAATTATTTTATTAGGTTAAATATTTAATAAAAAAATTAAAAGATTAGAAAGATAAAAGGTTAGGAAATATATATATATATATATAAATAAATAAAAAGTTCACAAAAATAAATGAATTAATAAATTAACATATATTTGAAAATAAAAATTAGGAAACATCATGGGGCATTTTTAGTGAAAGATTTTAAAAATTGAAATACAAAATAAAAATACCACACTTTTAGTGAAAAATTTTAGTAATATGTATAGATGGTACAAATTTTAGATACAATATATTATTACCATTTGGGTCATTCTCCAATTAAAACCAAAATTTTGTCTCGAAATATTGTTATTATTTTTAATTATCAAGACTTAACCAACAATTCACAAAATAAAATGTGAATTTTCAATGAGAGAAACCCGGATAAATGAATCTCACAATACTTATCAACCATTTTTCACGTTACAAGTAACACGAAGGTAACTCATGTCTCGTTTCTTCCCTATTGAACTCCGACAGAGAAAATCTTGAGAGCTCGTAAAATTAATTGAACTCTTGTAAAATAAAGTAATTGATTTATAATTAAATATTTTGTAAAATACAATTAATAATAAATAAATTCTTATTTGTTTATTTCAAAAGAATAAAATATACAATAGAAATATCTCTAATTATTTATCGTTTTGAAAAAAAATTACTTTGTGAAAAAAATTTAATATTTTTAATAATAAATATAAAAACATTTTTAACATGTATATAAAAAATAAACAATAATAATTTATATATAATAATTTTTATTAAAAATTATATAATATTAAAAAAACTAATATTTTAGTAACATTAAATGTTATATTTTAAAAATATATATGCCAAATTTTTAAAGAAGCCACAAGTTTAAAAAAATTATAAAAAAAGGCTTAATCAATTAATTAATTTAAAAATATCACTATTTTTAATTTTAACTTCTATTAAAAAAATGTATTCAATTTTAGTCTTTAGTTCAATAACTAAAATCATATATTTTTATGTTTCTAAAAGGCTTAAAAAAGTAAAAATTTTAAAAACTTAAATATTATATATAATATTTATAACCAATGGTTACCTGATTGCTGCGGTTCAGCGATGAGAGGTCCAATATAGTAAACGGGCGGAGCGCGTGTTGGGTGAGGGAAGCACGCGCCCTCTGTTATTGCCTTAACCGCCAAAGGCTCAAGCTCCCCAAAAGTGTTCACTATAATCCCACGCGCTTTCGGAAGGTGCTTGCAGAACCACAGCATGTCCCAATAAGAAGGGTCATCTCTCACCAGCATGGGCTCGGGCATGTTCACCGCCTTCAACGGCGCGTTTCCCGGCACGCGCAACTCCACGCCAAACATATCCTTAAACGACGTTGCGTATCGTTCGTGAATTATGGGGAAGTAGGAGAAGAGAGCGAGAACGGCAGCACCGGAAGTGAAGAAGTAGTAGACGGGGATTCCCATGGAAGAAGCGGGTTCTAATGCGGAAGTGCAAAATAGGTCGATGATGAAGGATTTGATGGTTGAGGATTGAGAAATTAGGGTTAGGGTTGTGGTGACATTGGGGGCGTTTCGTTTCACGAAGTCGAAGGCTATGGCGGCGGAGCTTACGGTGGTGGTTGGGGAGGTGGAGAATGGGATCTGCGGGAGACGGTGGAAGGTGATGGAGGAGTAGGTGGTGGAGATGCGGTGGATGTAGGAGTCGATGGAAGGGTGGTCGCGGAAGCCGGTGAAGAGAAGGATGGTGATGGAGTAACGGTTATTAAGGTGTTTGGCGAGTTCAACCATGGAGATTATGTGCCCTATACCCGGTGCTGGGTATAGCACTATTCTTTCTTCTTTCTGCATCTTTGCTTGATTGGTTTAGTGAGTGATTGAGAAATGAGGAGTCAAAGGGGGATTTGTTTTTGTTTTGGGTTTTTTTGTTTGGTTTATGAGTCTATGTAGTGGTGGGTTTAGCTGCAATATTCTTGTAGCAGTTGGCTTTATAATCATTTATGCAAAGGAATTAAAGGATAAAATAGTTTGTAATCATTTTATGTGTTTTTAAGTAATGAAATAAATAATGATATGGTTTTGTTGTTGTGTGATTATGTAGAGAAATGATTGGTTGATGCTCAGATCTTAGATGAGTGAAAGAAAAGAAAGAGGAGATATGATTCCACAATACTCCTGTTTTTTGGTGCTTAATTTTTAAGTTGAATGTGAAATGGGACGGTACAGCAAAGGCGTTGTGTCTGTCTATACGGGGTCGCAGGTTTAGGAATTGGTTTTTCTTTTTTGAATGTTAGGTATTAGCTGTTAGGTTCACAGCGACTCATATAAAAGTATAAAAACACAAAATTGGTCTTGTATATACTAAAACTTTAGTATGCATTGCTTTAATAAATAAAATAAATAATGATATGATTTTATTTTTGTGTATCATTCATTTTTAAAACTATAGCTACGCACTGTAACTTATCTTGTTCTATACCGTTTTAAATAAGCTCGTGATTCAAATGGGTTGAATTATATAAACCTGGATTTAAATATATGACATATTTAAATATAAGTGTATGCAGGTTAAATACGTCGTAATAGTTTATACTAAAGTTGAGTTATAGATGGAGACTTGAGGATATAAGGGTTTTTGCTCGAGTATAATAAGACAAAGTATATGCATAATAGGTTTAGTGAAAAATAAGATGAGGATTATGTGTTGAAAGTTAAAATTCAAAATAATATTATATCACAAATTTTTAATTTCAAGTACGTAGTAGAGATTGTACAAAATGATAAGGAAATGGTGAAGATGTTACTCACATAATACAAGTTGGATAGTTAAAGTGGAGAAAGACATCAAGAGTTATTTATTTATGACCATGAAATACCTATCAAGCTGAAAAAAGGTTTTATTGTGCCATAATACGACCAACTAGCTTATATGATAGTGAATATTTGACCTTAAAGGAATAACATAAGAAATGAGTGAGAAAAATGAGAATGTTAAGATGGATGAGTAGACACATAAAAAAGAACTTGGCATAAAAATGATAGTATACAAGAGAATATTAGAGTAGCACTTAGGAGTAGCACTTATACTAAAAAAAGATAATTGAAAGTCGTTTAAACTAGTTTAAACGTGTATAAAGAAGATCTTTGTAGGTGCCACTAAGGAGAGTGAATTGCATGACTCTTAGTCTAGTAGAGAGGGTTGAAGGAGACCTAAAAGAACATTAGACGAAATTATTAAAAGATCTCTCTTTTCACAAATTAGATTTCTGAAAGTTTAATTTTTGACTAAGCTCAATAGCGTCATGTGATCCATGTAGTCGATCTCACATAGTGAGATAAGGCTTGATTGAAGTTGTTCATATGCTGATGTTATTTGTCGACTAATGTCATTTGAAATAAGTCGTCTTGAGAAACCTTACTTACCTAAGAGTTAAGTGGTAAACACCTTATTAGTTGAGGATTAAGTATGTTAATTCATACTAGTTAATAAGATGAGGCTTTAATGGCTCTATCTAAGGTATGATCCATCTCAATGATATTGGATTTTGGTAGTCCAATGTCAACTTTGATGGTAATAGCAGTAGATTTGAGATTTGATATGCTCAAATAGGTTAGATCTCCAAGTTTGATATCTATTCCAATGATAACAAGAGTTTTTAAATGTTTGATAGCAGTCAATTATATTTTATCAAGTATATCAATTTTATAAAATTTCATATAAAAACAAAATGAACATATACTTCATTCTATTACTTTATTTTAATGTATAATATATTTTAAAATATAAATAAATATCAAAGTTTACATAATATATTTATAAATATTTAAATTATATAAAATTTGATATACATCATCATGAATATAATATAAAATAATTTAACTATTAGATTAATTAATCTCTCATTTTTATGCAAAGTTATCAAATAATGTAAATTTTCAAGTTTGATTCCTAGTATTAATAGAGTTTGATTTTATATATATATATATATATATATATATATATATATATATATAAAAGTATATCAATATAAAAAAAATACTATTAATTAATATATTTTTAAATTTTGTATTAGAAAAATTAATTACTTTTATTGATACAATAATTTATAATTAAATAAATGTATAAAAAAATTTAAATTATCAATTTTGTGTAATGCAATATAAAAAGAAAAATAAAAAAGAAATCAATAATATCAAATAGATTATAAAACTATTAAAGTATTTATTAATCAAAATTATTTATCATTTTTCATATTTTTTTATCTCTTTATTCTCGACTGATTTTTGACCAAACTATTTCTGTATATTTGAATTGATGATTTACCCATTGAATATTAAACTTGTATATTTTTATATTAATAATTTTTAATTTATTTAAAATTATAAAGAATAATAATTTTTTATTAAAAATTATAGCATTTAATACTATTGGTATATTAATTTTTTAATTTATAATATCACATACAATATCAGAAATTATTTAAAGATGTCTTAATACTTAAAAAATTATTTTCTAACTCATTTTTTAATACACTTTAGTTAAAAAATTTACTTTGATTAAATAATTTTCTATCATATTTTCAATAAAATTTAGTTAATAAATAATAATATTTTAAAAAAATATATTTATATATGTGAGTGTATTTCAAAGGCTTTTTTATTTAAATATTGTAATTTAAAAAATAAATTTTTTATTTATTAATTTTTTCGTACTATTTCTCTTTATGAAGTGAATCTAGTTACATGACAAAAGTTTTGTTTAGTGAAACATTTTAATTTTTTAAAATAATTTTCACTACAAAGAACATGAAACTAATATGACGTTGTCATGCGTCAAACATTCATTAGTTTTGCCACAAGTTTTATGAAAATAAAATCAAGTTTCGACACGTGGTAAGATCTGGTTATATTTTGTCACAGGAAGCACATAAGTCACAAATACCTTTATTGATCTGGCTATGGTGAAAATATCTTTATTGTTGGCTAACACATGTGAGGCCAAACAATAACTGTCATGCCCTTTTTCCCTTCCCGTATTCCCTCTTTTTCTTCTTTCTCCCACTGTAGCCTTCCTTCCTAATATCTAATAGTACACGAGTCAAAATAATAAAAATCTAATTACTATAGCACAAAGTAAGCAATCAGAGTTGTCTCTCAAGGATCATCAAAACAATTTTAGAATGAGAGAATTCAACAAAATCAATAAAATGAAAACAAATTGAGAGAAGATAATCAATTAATTAAACATCTAATTCAAGAATCAAAAGGAAAGTAAGAACACTTAATCATTGAATCAAAAAAATTATTAATATTCTAATCTAAGGGGTTAAAAATTGAATTTGAATGAAACCTCAATTCAAAATAAGTGATCACACAAAAATCTTCGTGCATTTGATTAACACAAAATTAATTAAAATTAAAAAAAATTAGAATTTAATCAAAACGTATTAATCTTCTACAGTACTTAATTAACCCTAATTTCCTAAAATTGATTTAGACACTTCAAATGAATAATGATGAATTAATTACTTCTTATTTAGAACTAGAAAGAATATCTTCAATTCATGAAATTAAATAGATTAGAGATAAGAGAAAAGAACTCAAATTGAGAACAAATGTTGTAAACTGATTCTCAAAATTGTTGTGCTTCTTAATCCTTGAATTCAAAATTTTGAGAATAGGGAAGAAGATGAAAAAAGGAGGAAACTTTAAACTGAATCTAAATCTATCCAAAAAAAAATCATAGAATAAATTCGTAACTTGCTCCTTTATTTCAACCAAGAATTTCCATTCTTTTGACTTCATGATCTGAATATGAATTAAAGTCCTGGATGTAGATTTTAAATGCCACTAAAATGAGTCCAATTGGATATTTTTGGACTGAGATACAGTCCAACGCACGTTGGTTAGGATCCATGTTTGCCTCCTTTCCCTTCTAGTATAGGCCAATTTTTTGCTCTAGACGTTAGAATTCAGCCTTTTATTTCTTCATAAGAGTTGTAGGTTAATATCTTAACTTTCCTACAAAACAAGAATCATATTAAAACAAAGTCTATAGCTCAATTTATAACTCAAATACTAAATAGTGTCAGAATATGTACTATGCTGAAATAATTGAATTAGAATCTAACCAAGACTTGAAAAACAAAAATGGTATAAATAAATTCTCTTATGCACAAAAGAAGGTTAATATACTAAATATGAAGAAAAATGTATACATAAAAATTCAATTCATCACTCTCCTCTAATTTATTTTCTCTAAAAGTGATTGATGCTCAGAGAGTAATTTGGTGAATTTTTCTCAATTTTTAAGTAATATGAAGTATTAATCATTTTATATGTATTTCTACATATTATTTTAAATTTTTTTATCATATTAATATACATATATATATATATATATATATATATATATCTTTGTAATCTATTAACTAGTGTAGGTAAAAAATTACGCTGTTGGTGAATGCTACAACAACTATTGCAACAAAGCTTAGTAAATTTGTTTATTTTTAATATTTTAATTTAGTTTGTGTTTATATTTAGGAAAATTAATAAATTTGGTGAGTGTTGGAACAACTTGTTTGAATTTTTTAACAGTGAAGCCTTTAATTTCCATGGACAACCAGAACTATAGTTCAAGCACTTCATTTACAAACATGTTGCTTTAGACTTAGTTACAAAATAACTTTGATAAGTTTTTACCACGTAATATTTTTATGCATTTTTCACATCTTCTTTAGCATTAAATAACAAGTCAACAAATAAAATCTTTTTCAGTCATCTCTTGATCATGATATTTCCAATTAATATACTTATAGTGTGGGGTTACATTCCAAAAAGAAACTTCACTAAATCTTACATATTATAGTAAAAAAAATCATCCTCATTGCTACTAACATAATTAAATAAAATAAATAAATTTTAAACAATCATTCACAATACCTCCTCTTATTTCTTATTGTTGTATATTTAAGTTGAAAGCAAATTTGCCCCCTGTATCAATGTCAAAAGTAGTGTGTAATAGAATTTCTCTTTAATCATCCCATCACTATAATTATTTTGATTTTAGTCTTCATATTCTTCATCATGATCACTCCTAATTTCTTTATTGCAACAAATTCACAACTTTTAATTCTAACAAACAAATTTATTAATAAAGCAATTTGTAAATATCAAATTTATCTTGGTAGTAATTGTTCACAAGGCTTTTATCATTTTGTAGTAAAAGTGATAAATTTAATTCCACCATCTAAGACAAAATTAATGAGATTTCACCGATAGCAACATCAACATATAATTCTAACAATTTTATCAGTTTATCGTTAATATTCATTTATTATGCAATTAATATTTTTATCATCACATATCTCCAAAGGTGTAATCTAGCATTTTTTATCATCACGAAAATTATTTAAAAAATTAAAATTAAAAT